TGATTTCATCACCCACTGCAACGCGGCGGTAAACAGCTTTGGCGACACGGTGTCGCCTTGTCGAACCCCTTCGAGATTGATATGTTAAGGGGACGATAGAAAAGCTGTGCCTTTGTATAGCAATTCCTGTAGCAGCCGGCCAATGTCCTCACGTAAGATGGGTCCATCCCTTGGTCGACGAGCGCTGACAGTATGGCATGAGTCTCTACGCTGCCAACGCTTTCCCATAGTCAACTAAGATTAGGACGAGAGGTAGGCGGTGCTCTCGGCAAACCTCGATAACCCTCGAAACTGTCTGGATGTGATCCACGCAGCTGAATTCCTGGCGAAATCCAGCTTGTTTTACAGGTTGGGCTTCATCCAGTGTCCTTGATATGCGAGTGGGAATAATCTTCGTAAGGAGCTTGTAAAGAACGCTCAGCAGGCATATTGGATGGTAGTTCCGAAGATTCTCCCTATCACCCTTCTTATGCAGAAGGATTGTTCGGGAAGTTCTCCACTGGTCGGGGATCCTTTCCTTTTGAAGATAGGACGTTAGCTGTTCCACAAGATCTCGTGTAGGCGATGTCCTCCAGCTCGGTCGACCGAAACATGGCCCGTTCCCGGAGCCTTGGCTGCCTTCATGGTCTGGATTGTGGCGCGTACTTCAGCAGGTAGAATCCGTGGTGCAATTTTTGCTGTAGGAATAACAGGATTTGGGTGTTGACGAGCGAAAGAGATTAGTGCAGAATCTGTTCGTGATCGATTCCATCTTGAAGATGGGCGAGTCCCGTCTTCGTTGAGCAATGTTGACAGCGGAACATGATAGTCGAGAAGGTCCCTGCGGTACTTCTTTAGACTTCCCCTTCCTTATGCTGCTTCCAAAAGTTTCGATTGCCTGTACTTTGGAAGATCTTCCTGCAAAGCCATTCTGCAACTGATATTCGCTGTCAGTCGCTCGAGACGTGAAATCGGATCCAGCCTTAGTGCTTCCTTGGTGGCTTTCAAAATTCGCTTCAAGTTCCTTATGCGAGGCATTGAGGCGCTTTCACCACAGGCTCTTAGTCCTCTAAAAAGGAGGTCGTAGTCTTTCCTTGGGTCCTCCTCGATTGGCCAGTCACAGGTGGTCAGGAGCCCCTCCAATCTGACGCCGTCGTATACGACTCCTCTCCTTCCTCCAACACGGTGGCAGATCTTCTTTGCCTGCCTTCGGCTGAATCGCACTTTTGCTCGAAGGAGGCGGTGATCTGAGCCACTACTGAAGGATGCTACCACTGAGAGGTCCAGTAAGCACCACGTTCGGTTGATGAGAATGAGGTCGAATCCGCATGAGTCGTACTGTTGAGCGAATCCCATCTAGCCGCCGGTGTTTTTTTCTCCAAGATGATGGAACTGCCATGAAAAATTTCTGCCATGGATAAGAGCCCAACAAGAGGTAACATCCTCATTCCGAAGCTCTGATCCAAATCTCCCAATCCACTGCTCCCCTCTTCTGGCATCGCGGCATTGAAGTCATCACAACAAAAAATTTCCTTTGTGGATGACTTCATTCAATTCCTCAATGAAAGCATCTGGTATCGAGTCATCAGCTGCTGATGTTGGAGAACAGTTGATATCCGTGATAAGTTTCTGATTAGAGGAGGAGTCGAAGGATAGCTAGCCGAGGTGTCTCGTGCGATTCGACAATATGGACAACAGACGGGTGCGCGACAAATCCCACTCTTCAACGTTCCGTGATGGAACCTTACCACAAATGATGATGTGCCATCACTCGGCTGCCTCACGTCCGTCTTCGAGGACTTTGTTTCCTGCAAGGCGATTATTAGGCGCCCTGCAGCTTCACGATTAGCGTGAAGATCGGCGTTGATCGTCCTGGTGTTAAAGGTGCAGAGTGTGTGACAACCTCCATGGCAAGTCGCTGACGCGCTTTTGATTCCACCATGATGCCGCGCAATCTGACACTGGCATTGATGACATTCGACGCCAGAGGTGTGATCTAATGTGCACTGCTTTTTTCCTTTTACGCTGTAAAAACGCTAGAACAATCCCTACTTTTAAAGTCTTGCCAGGGTCTGCCATGCTTTCACCACAGGCAATCGCTGACCTATGTGGATCAGGGAACCACCTAGCGACTAAGTCAGCCAGACGGTGGCGTTTCTGGCAGGGCTTACTTTGGGCATTCGGAAAGCCGAAAACGTGGAAATTCTCAGATTGGCCTGCTAAAGGATAAACTTCCGCTGTACCTCGCAGTTTGACACCCTAGAGTCACTCACGTGCCACGAAGAAGTCATCACGGAGGAGCATCTCATTAGGGATAAGTAGTACCCTACCAACGCTTAAGACGACAGCTCTGGGAGACCACAAGGTTACTTTGGTTTAACAATCATGCTTTTGCTCAAAAATGATGCCCACCCTCATGACCTCGCCAATCACACTCCGCTTATGGCTTAGTATAGCATATCTCCTATATAAGTCTGTATAAATGTATGTATATGTGTATATATATATATATGTATGTATATGTATGGATTTATGTATGCATGTATGTATGTATATATGTATGCGTATGTATATATGTATGTGCGCATGTATGTATGTATGCATGTATGTATATATGTATGCGTGTGTATATATGTATGTATGTATTTGTGTATGTATGTATATATGTATGTATGTATATTTGTGTGCGTACGTATACATGTATGTATG